ATTTGAATTATCAAAGGATGATCAATGAAACATTCTGCAATTCTCATGTTATTATATGTTAACTGCAGCAGGTGAAGAAGCTAGAAAGGAAGAGACCTCAGATAATGAAAATAAGTCAAAAGCAGTTCCCAGCCTTGTACAATATAAATGGTGGATCCAAATTTCTATTTATTCAACATTTGTTCTATCTGGTCAAGCAATTGGTACACTCTTAGGAAAACTATATTTTAATAAAGGAGGAAATAGCATATGGTTAGCTTCATTAGTACAAAATATTGGCTTCCCAATTCTCATCCCTTTCCTCTTAATACCATCATTAACCAATAAGAGTGAACAAAATAGAGATGTTAATATAAAGAAACCTTCTATTTTTGTTCTTATTCCTCTTTATATTTCCCTTGGTTTATTTTTAGCAGGAAATTGTATGCTTTACTCTATAGGACAATTATATATATCTGTTACCACTTATACACTTATTTGTACTAGCCAATTAGGATTCAATTCCCTATTTTCATTCTTTTTAAACAAACAAAAATTCACACCTTATATAGTGAACTCTTTAGTACTTCTCACAATTTCTTCTTCACTCCTTCTGCTCCAAAATGACGACAATTCTGGATATTCCAATAAGAAATACTCTAAGAAAAAGTATATAATTGGTTTTTTATGTACCTTAGCTGCATCTGCTGGTTATGGATTCATGCTCTCTATAACACAATTAGCCTTTCAGAAAATCTTTAAGAGGGAAAGTTTTCGATTAATCATAGAAATGACAATTTATGAGTCCTTAGTCGCGACATTGGCAAACTTGGTGGTGTTATTTGCAAGTGGAGAGTGGAAAATCTTGAACAAAGAGATGAATGAGTTTGAACTTGGGAAGAAATCATATGTTTTGAATTTGATTGGAACTGCTGTTTCTTGGCAAGCTTTTACAGTTGGTTCAATTGGGCTGATTTTCAAGGTTTCTTCACTGTTTTCCAATGTGATTAGCATTCTTGGTGTGCCTATGGCTCCTGTTTTCTCTATGTTATTTCTTCATGAGAAAATGAATGGTGTGAAGGTGATATCAATGGTGTTGGCTATGGGGGGTTTCTTGTCATATATGTATCAGCATTACCTTGATGATTTGAAGAAAAAGTCCGAAAAAAATGTTTCAAGTAATGTCTCTGAGATTTCTCTCACTGAAAGAAGTTCGTAAAAAAAAAAGGGGGTAGCCGGTGCATGAAGTATCACACATTCACGCAATGTCCGGGAAAAGACTGCATCTTAAGCGGGTGTGATGTAGGCAACCTACTCTTAAGCAGAGTCCATGATTGATTCCACGGCTCAAACCTCTGACCTATACGTATAGGTCACTTATACCTATATTTCAACACGAATATAACTTTATCAAGATAATGTATCAGCATTACCTTGATGATTTGAAGAAAAAATCCAAAAAGAATGTTTCGAGCAATGTCTCTGAGGTTTCTCTCAGTGAAAGAAGTTAAATGTGTAGACATGGAAGTTAATTTGTAGTTCATTTGAATTTCAGTATAAGAGTATAGCATGAAAAAATCGTGTAGTTTACGATCATCATAAGCCACACAATATGGTTACCTGTTTCTTGGCTCATCCACTGTGCATACTACACTAGTTATGTTAAGGTGCCTGACTGATTCAAGAAAGAAACACTAGTTACCATCTTACCAAGAGATTCTCCACCTCACGGTTCGAACCTGAAATCTCTGGGAAAGGGTGGAGGGATTCCAACTATCCCGTCATCCCTTGGTGGTCTTTCAAGGCATTTCTTGGCTGCAAATGAAATGGAATTTTAGATGATAAATGCTTCATGGATGGTGGCCAAGGATGTTACCATCTAATAAATGATTGAAGCATTATCGCTCTTCACCAAAGCGAACACACCATAACAATGTATTAGTACCTAATACAACAAATAGTAGGAGTTCAATGATAAAACAAGTAATCAGAACCGACGTTGGAAATGTAAATAGATATGAGCGTCGAGTAAATCCATATGAAAATAAATTTAAAGGCTTACCATTATCTAAAACTTCGGAAAATCGTGAAGCAAATACACCTGCATTTCAGAAAATCCCAGCTAATCAAAAACCGCATACTACAGAGCATCCATTAGTACAACCTGTTAGTTCTCTCTCTGCAAACTTCACAAGCATTAACAAGCTAGCTGTTTGATCTAAAAACAACAACAAAAACAACTAGCTATAAGCTTCAAGAGTAACATCATATTAAAATATGTCTAAAGGCTTACTCATATAATAAAACTTTGGAAAACTGTAATGCAAATACATTTGTATTTGTTAGTTCTCTCTGGAATCTTCACACGCATTAACAAGTTAGCAATATGATCTAAAAAGAACAACAGCAACGACAACAAGACCAATAATAGTGTCACTAACTTTGAAATGATCATTAATTTCTTTCCTTGCCTCAAGAAGATAGCAACGATGTTCTCTTTCAAAAGAAGAGCCTTTACATCCACTCACAGAATTCCTCAAACAGCATCAACAGAGCTCGAGTACTACCTGGCTATAATAGATCAGAAATTGATCAATTACATAAGACAACCCACATAATGAGCTTGAGGATATTTCTTTTTTAGTTGTGTCCATTGCACAAATAACTGATCAGCCATGCGTAGCTTGTAAAGAAGCAAACCACTCAAAGACAGCTTCCTGACTCTTGCAATGCTCTCCACATAGAAAATTGATGACCACTGAATTCCCAAAACCTGAGGCTAGCAAAGTTTCAATTAGCACTTAAATGTCATCTTGAAATTAAGACAAGATATGGCAGCATCAATCCAACTCTGATCCTTATTAACAAAACAATAATAGGGAAAGATTGCGAACGAACTCAAAATGTTTGCAAGTTTGATAACACTGTGAGTAGTCAAGTGCTTTCTTTTTTATCTGCTGACTGTTTCTTCCTCCCCTTTTTACATTTATACATTCTTTTTTTTACAGGGATGGGGCCAAGCAAGCTAGGAGAGGCCATGAAACAAAATTAAAAAAAAATTTAGAAGATAAGAGTTCTCAACAATTCATGCCATGATATGTCAAGGCAAATAATTACGGATGGACGTGATTTTAAAATCAAGGTAGTATAATCCATTTTTTTGTAAATCGGGACTTTAACGGATATGATGCATGTAATCGATACTGTAGCATCCAACTTAACTATACAAATAAGTTAAAAGAAAAAAAGATTACCCTCCAATACACAAACCTTAAAAAGGAAGGCAATTACACATAGCGGGACACATGTTCCTGGGCCATTGCACAGAATCTGAGATAAAGTACCAATGTAGATAAATTAGAAGACTCTGATATAAAAAGGAAAAATATCTAAAGAGTGATACTTTCGGTTTTAAGGGGGAGGAGAGCTAAAGGTAATATGAGAGGTTTGTATGATACCACTTGGGGTCTGATCTTGATCATTAACCACAATGCATGTGCAATTGCAACCAATGTGGTTCCAATTGAGGTTATATACGATTGACCAACCTCTCGACTTCGATATATCTGCAAGAATTCAGCACCCCCTACTTCCTCAAGCGCTTCCTAGAATAAGAGGTAACCCTATTAATATAGACAACATAAGGAATAGAATATCATGATCGGTTAAGGGAGAAGAGCACACTTCTGTGGTGTTGCATATGTATGTGCATATGTATGTGGAATACTCTAAACAACTAGAAGAGTATGAACACTCCTCTAGACCTAAGATTGACTATCCCAACGAACATACAGAGTATGGTTTAGCTCAGAGGCAAAAAGCAAGGTACATAGATGTATGCAGACAACTTATAGCTAGACGTTTCCAGCATATATATATGGAATCAGTGGCGGAGCCACGACTTTCACTATGGCGTGTCAAAATATAAAAAAGTAAACAAACCAAAAGGACAAGGCGATTCAACATATAGTATAAATACATGGGCAGCCTGGTCACTGGTGCACAAAGCATCCCCGTTCACGCAGTGTCCGGGGAAGGGCCGCACCTCAAGGGGTGTGATGTAGGCAGCCTACCCTGATGCAAGCATTAGTTGATTCCACGGCTCGAACCCGTGACCTATAGGCCACACGTAAACAACTTGACCCTTGCTTTAAGGCTCCCCTTCGTATAGTATAAATACATAAATTTAAAAAAAATTGTCTAACTACACAGTGTAATTTTCCAGCGAAACTGATGTACTATACCTTACCAACTAAGGAATCCTCAAACGTTTTCGCTTTTTGGAGACTCATATTATCAGTAGCAGCAGCAATATAATATCTCGGCTTAAGCCTCTCTTTTTGAAGGACATATAATAAATTTAGCATTTCTGCTGTGTGACCACCTACGTTATAATTGAACTTTAAAAAAAAATTAGAACGAGTATAAACAAAAGGCAATAAAACGGGCAAAAATCAGAAATAGCTAAATTTATAACGAGTAATGGAAAATAGCCACAATTTTAAAAGTAGACGAAATTTAGTCATTTTTTCATGTAAAGATAAAATATGAACAAAAATACCCTTGAAAATCCGGAAAAATTCTAGCATAATATGCTGGAGTTCAAATTTTTTACACATGAGATTCCAACATAATGTGTTGGAGGTCCAACATAATATGATGGAAGTTTATACACATGAGCTCCATAATCCAGCACATTATGCTGAAACTTTCCGTATTACAGCAAAGCAGTGACTAATCTTCAATAATTTTGCAAACGCTGGCTATTTTTCAATTACCAGTCCGAAAACTGGCTAGACCGTGCTATTTTCACCCGTAAAACAGAAAAAAGAATATTTAGGCTTAAAATGAGACCTGAACCAAGAACAACAAGAGTACCGAGGAATCGTGGTGATTTGGAATGAAGTGGTTTGCTGCTCCTATAAATAACATAAATAATTCGCACTACAACTACGGTGATGACACCTATAGTTAATAGAACTGTGATATTTGATGATGCCATGGTAGAGATGCAAAAACCTCCCTTCTCCAGTACAAACAGCTCTGCCCCTCAGCTGAAAATAGAGATCCTAAAATACAGTTCAATCAATCAGCAAAAGTTCTAAAACACAAGCATGTAAACGTAAACAATATTCATTTAATCAAACACCTACAAATTGAAAATGAGGCCCTTTCTTTTATAGCAGTGGGAACAGAAAGAAAACTTTGCAAACCAAATTCAGAATAATAGATACCCATAAAATCATTGGAAGAGAGAACACGTACCTGCTGTCACTTAAATTAATCAATCGAAATTGAGGAGAAAATCCATCGGATTGTCAAATTTGCACCTGTGAATTCTGAAATCTCCGGAAAAATAAGAATTTCGAAATCTGTATTGCCAAAGGTAGCCGGGTCACCCTTTAATTTGGTAGAAATGAGGGGGAAGTGCACAAATAACCACTAATTTGAGATGTCTTTACTTTTTAGCCACTATTTTAAATGTATTTACTCTTTAGCCAGTACTTAATAAATTTTTACCCGATCGGACAAAACTGCCCATGTGCTAGACATGGTTGTTGTGTAAATATTAAGGACATAGTGTCCTTAACTTCATGAGTGTTGTGTAAATATTAAGGACA